GAAGAGACGACAACTCCTTCGATCCTCCAAGGCAAGGCCCTCTCTGGAACGCCTCACATCTATACGGCAGGCTCGTGTCGTGCCGACTTCGGCGTTGTTCCCTGACACTGCGGGGATCGTTCAACCTCGAGCGATCGGCCGTTTCCGAAGCGTCGGATCGTTCATCTTCGACCGTGCGGTCGCTCGCTGACCGCATGCCTCTCCCCGCTCGCGTGCGTCGTGCCCGCTCGGCCCGCGTGCGCCCCCCTCGGCGCGCTCGGCCCGTGCGGGGCGCTCCCGCGCCGCGCCCCCCCGCCCTCTGTCAGACCCGCCTGCGCCGGGATGGCCCCCCTCTCTCTGCCGGCGGCTCGCCGTGGGTCGCTCTCTTCCCCTACCCCCTGCTCTCACAGGAAGAAGGGGAACTGCAGTGGAAACCCATGCCAAGAGGCACTCTGCTTGCGTCCAGGGTGCCCTGGGGTTGTCGGTTTCGATGTTTTTTTTTGCCGTGGACCTCGTGGCGTTCCCACACCAAAGATCAATGAACGCCCTGGGGTCTCAGAGTTGGGTTTCTTGTGGAAGGCTTCTTGTGGTCGGGCTCCTACTGTAGAACAATGGTTATTGTCCACCAATGTCATTGTCTACCAAGTCTACCGTTACTCTATCATGTTCACCGCCAGGATCTAGGTACCAATGTCAATGTCTACCAAGAACAAGGAAGGTAGAAGCCGTGTCCTGGGGAACGAACAATGAGATAAACAGAAACTCGGAGGTTCGCGCAGACTTCTCGGATCGGCGCTGGGTCCCCCCTGGCGGCGCCTTAGGGGCGCCGCCCTTGGTGCGCTCCGCGCGCCAGGGAGGGGGGGTCCAGCGCCGATCCGAGAAGCCCGCGCGGGCAGACGTTGATGTCATTGTTCGCTCCCCTAGGGAAGGCGCCGCCACCACCACCACCACCACCACCACAACCACCACCACAACCACCAGCAGCAGCAGCACCACCACCACCACCACCATAACCGCGAGGCGCCAGGGAGGGTCCTCCTGGTGGTGTGCCCCCCCCCCTCTGACTCGAGACGTGCCCTCGTTATCCCCCCTCCTCCTTCCGCCCCCTTCTCGCTGTCGGTTCGGTCGGCTTTTCGGCTGTGGTGCTGCATTGGATCGGAGGGGACCAACTCCACACCCACGCGGGCGGACCCTGGCCTCAGGCCATCCTGAGCCCAGGATCGGTGCATTACGCCCTCATGCCTTGCAGGAGGGCACCTACACACATGATCGCGTCGTAAACAAATCAGGACGGCAGACTTTCGGCCAATTTCGGCCTCGGGGGGCCCTCGCCAGGCCTCGGGACCGCCAAGAAACGACTCAGGATGAGAAGCCGGTCCCGCCGAAGGGGTCGGGGCTTCCAGGGACCCCGCACTGAACAACTCAGGACGTCGCATGTCTGGGCGCCGATGCTGGGCCCAGGCTGAGCTTCGCCAGGGTCGGTGCAGGTGCATCGTTGGTGCCCTCCTGGTGGGCGGCCCTGCCTGCGGAGCCGCCAGCTGCAGCGGCTTCAGAGGCTCAGGCGCCATACCGCGGAGCGGCCCTGCGACGGGGGCCCCGCCCGGCGGCGGCCGCCGCCCCCGCGCCGCGGTGCCGCCCGGCGGGCGGGCCTGCCTGCGTCGAGTCTCTCTCTCTCTCTCGCCATGGGCTCGGGGGGGGGTCGGGGTGGGTATACCCTGAGTGCCTCAATTTACAGTTTTGGGTCCCCCGGCTACAGGGGCCGCCGGGGACTGCATGGGGCCCCTCCCCCGGACTGAAAAGGCCCCCCCCCCGCCGGAGTCCAGGGACGGTCCCCAGGACTACAGGGCCCCCCCCCCTGGACTGCAAGGGCCCCCCCCTTCCCGAACTGCAGGGGACCCCCCCCCTCGCCTGGGCTGCAGGCCCCCCCCCCGCCCTGACTACAGGGGCACTCCAGGACCTCCCCGGAATATTAGTCACCCCAAAATTATGATTCAGGCATTCGGAGTCCGCAGAGCGCAGACAACGGGTCGGGAGCCTTGAGACGGGAGTCAGTACCACCGGGGGTCAGCCAGAGTGCCAGATCTTGCAGGATTTTGCCAAGCCAGGGTTGCCTTGACCCGGGCTTGCGTGCAGCATTTTGCAGGTTCTTGCAGGGTCTCGCAGGATCTTGCAAAGCCTGACTGACCTGGGTTGGTATTTACCCAGGGCAGTAGATCCCGGAATGGGTACACAGTCCACTATGTGGGGCATTCCAGAAAAGGCTTCGCCTTCGAGGATCGAAGGGGCTGGCATCTCTTCCTCGGTGGAAGGGCGGCGGGAGGCGGCGGAAGTAAAACGAGGCCACCTCCGCCGGCGAAAGTTGGCGGAAGGCCGGCGGAAGCTGGCGGAAGTAACTTGTGTGCTCCCATGACAACATTTTTGGTTTCAGGGTTGCCGGAATCCGCCATGTGGACGCTCGAAATGGGTACGGACAAAAATGGGCACGATATCCAACAACTAATGTCCACTACCGACGGTGGCCGCTCTTGGGCAGGCGGCCGTCTGTCTCAGATCGACAGCATCCGCGGGGGCGCCGACGGCGAACCCTGTTCAAAACTATCAGGAATTGCTGTCGGTCATTGTGCCCATTCTTCCGTACCCATGTCGATCGTCCCCGCAACAGCAGTTTTTCTTCATTCTGAGTCCTTAGCGTCGATTTAGCGTCGCTCAGCGTCGATTAGCGTGGATCTGGCGTCGATTCGCGTCGATTTAGCGTCGATGAGCGTCGATCCGCAAGAGCCGGCAAGATGGTACGGGATGCTTCCATGAGTTGCCGCCGAGATCGTGCCCATTTGTCCAGCACCCATTGCGGGCGTCCAAGTGAATCGGGCGGGGGTCGCTGCCAGGGGCGTCGCGCTTCGGTCCTCCTCCCGGAAGCCGAGGCTCCAGGCTTCAGAGCTCGAGGAGGCTCCACGACCGAAGCGCGAGGAGTTTTTTTTTGTTGGACAGCGGGGTTAAGTCGGGCATGTCCCTCTACAGGGCGACTATTTCAAACAAGTGTGGGGACGATGTTTAGACTACTTTTGGCTGTTTTGGATTTTTTTGGTCCGTCCAAAATCCGCCCGAAAGGGGGACATGCCCGACCTTACGCCAGGGGCCGTTCTTGGAAATGCTCCATGGGGCGCTCTCTGGCGGGCTCTCCCCCCGAGGAGCTGGCGCTGCCTCGAGGAGGGGGCGACACCCCGAGTGGTGGTCCCCCAACTGCGGCGGCGAGCGAGGGGGGGGGTGCGGGGAAGTGGGGAGGAGGAGGCCCTCTCAGGCGCGAGCACGCACGTCGGGCACCCCCACGTGGAGAAGGCGCGCGGGGCTTTCTCGTTTTCGCACGGGGAGGTGCTGTACCTGCCACCGTGCCTCTTCAGAGGCCAGTGGATCACAGTTTGGCTGGACCTTGATTGGCTCATGAATGAATGAATGTTCGGAGGTCCCCCAGCCTTCCGAGAGGTCTTTTGAACCTTTCCCGAAGACGAAAAACAACTTCTCAGAAGGCGCGAGGGCTTCTGAGAAGTCCCGCCGTCCTCTGAAAAGGCCTTCTCCTTCTCACTTCCCCCCTCCCTGCTCGCCGCCAAAGTGGGTCGGGTGCTCATTTTGGGGGACCTATTCCGGGGGACCACCCAGCGGATCTGTTCGACTCCAGCTCGACTTTAGTTCGACTCTGGCTCGACTCAAGTTCGACTGAAGTTCGACTCGAGTTCGACTCAAGCTCGACTCAAGTTCGACTCAAGTCGACGGACGTTCGACGCATGATCGGAGCGAGTGGCTCCAGGACCGTCCCCAGCACGAGCATCAAAAGTGGGGCCCTGAGGGAAGGGGGGGCCCTTCGACGAGGACACGTCGACAGAAACATGAGGCTCCGGAGGCCCGCGCGGATTTCTGCGTTCGGCGCTGGATCCCCCTCCATGGCGGCGCCTCCGCCACCTGGTGCCGTCCTGCGCGCTCGGCGCGCCGGGGATGGGGCGTCCAGCGCCGACCCAAGGCATCCGCGCGGGCCTCCGGGAGCTTCCGTCCATGCAGAGGGGTCCTAGCTTTGTGTCCTGGAGGGCCTCCCGTCGTTCTCGGGCTCCCATGGGCCTTCCTGGACCCCGGGGCCGTCACGAAAGGGCCCGAGGATGAGTTGGGAACCCCCAAACCGGGTGGTGAGATACCAGGTGGCGACCTGGAATCCCCAAACAGGTCACCGCTGGGTTTGGGGACGCGGGGTCACCACCAGGTTTTGTGACTCCTGGACCCACCAGTGTCCAGGACATCCTCGGAAAACCGCACGAGTCCCCAAACCGGGCGGTGACACCAAATCACCCGAGACTCACCGCCAGGTGTTGTCACCACCACGTTTGGGGACTACCAAATGAGGAGCCGGGCCACAGGGGAAGGCCCTGCGGTGCGGGTCCAGGGCCCGCACCGCGGGCGCAGGTGCACCCCACGCGCAGGCCGTCCACAGGCGCGTGCGCAGTCTGTGCGCGGGGGGCCTGTCGGCGGCCGCGGGCCTGCCGTGGGCCTGCCACAGGACAGGCCGGCCATAGCGCTATGCTTAGGCTGGGCAGAAGGCCTGCGGCAGCCCGGCGTGCAGGGCACGCACAGACCCAGCCCTCTCTCTCTCGCGAGCTGCCACGCTCCCGCGCCCACGGGCGCACAGGCGAAGCCGAGGGCAAGGGCGCGTAAGTCACCTTCCCAGGGCTACCCTTGAGTCGGGCCTGTCCTCCCTCTACAGGCAGAACATTCCAAAATAGTCAAAGCATAGTCTTGGGACGATTTTTTGATTTTTTTGTTGCTATGTTTGAGTGCAGTTTGCATTTTTGTTCCTCATTACTTGTCCAAAATTCGCCTGTAGGAGGACATGCCCCACCGAATCCTTGCCTCTTCGGTCCGTCCTTGGCCACTTTCGAGGGCCAGCCCCGCTCGGAAAGCTTCGGCATGGGCGTTTAAAAAGGCTCGCATCCTTACCGCGCAAGGGGGGGAGGAGGAGGAGGAGGAGGAGGAGGAGGAGGAGGAGGAGGAGGAGGAGGAGGAGGAGGAGGAGGAGGAGGAGGAGGAGGAGGAGGAGGAGCATGAGCATGATCATGATCATATGACAAAGTCAATGTGCAATCTCTCTATACAAATTCCTTGAACTTGAAGCCGCAGTTCAGGACATCCATCACGAGTGGCACGGAATTTATCACGCGCGGCACGAAATTGTTCTCACAGTCCCCTCACATTTGCTTGCAGTCTTGATCTGTATTCTTGATGGCGCCCCAGTCGATCACCGCCGAACCGCCGGGCAAAAAAGGGGCGCCTGGAGTTCCACTGATCTCTCTGAGCTCCTGAGAGATAGCATCACGGTAGCTAGCAATATTGGGCTCTAACTTCACCTGCTGCATTCTGCGAGGCCCGATGGCGGCACTGTAGCCGTACGAACTGCACCCTGGGCCTAGACTAGGGGTAGAGCGACTAGTGTGAGACGTAAAAGGCTCAATCATCCCGCCTCTCTCACACGCGCTGATCCCCGAGCAGTAGCTAGGGTAGAAGTCATCTGGCTCCATCTTCACCTGTGCTCCATTCTCGGGTCTGCAGCTGTCGACGTTAGGCTTGGTCGTCGCAGCACTCCTCCCGCTCTCGTCTCTGTAGCTGATGGCGTTGGGCTCGTGCTTCGCCTCCGCCCTTGCCAACGTACAAGACTCCATGTCGTTGTAGCTGATGACATTGGGCTTGTGCTTCGCCTTCGCCACTAAGCGCCGTACAAGACTTCGTGGGGAGTCGTCGTCGTTGTAGCTGATGGCATTGGGCTTGTGCGTCGCCCCCACCACTGCCAAAGTGCAAGACTCCACGTCGTTGCAGCTGATGACATTGGGGTCGTGCTTCACCTCCGCCACTAGCGCCGTACAAGACTGCGCGGGATCGACGTCGTCGTTGTAGCTGATGGCATTGGGCTCGTGCTTCGCCTCCGCCGTTGCCACCGTGCAAGACTTCACGTCGTCGCAGCTGATGACATTGGGCTCGTGCTTTGCGTCCCCAACCACCGCCGTACAAGACTTCGCGGGATCGTCGCCGTTGTAGCTGATGGCGTTGGGCTCGTGCTTCGCCTCCGCCACTGCCACCGTACAAGACTCCTCGTCGTTGTAGCTGATGGCATTGGGTTCGTGCTTCGCCTTCGCCCAAGACCAGTACCAAGCGTCATAACTGTCTATCTTCCACTTCAATGTCGCAATCTCTGTATACAAGCGTCTAATGAGGTTATCTGCTGAGATCCTTGCGTGCTGTCTGCGCATCTTCCGGTCTGTCGTGCTCCCCTTCACCGTATTGCGCCCCTCGCGGGCGCGTCCCGTAGCTTCCATTGGAGAAATTTGCCTCGATCTTTGCCACCCTGTAGAATTGCTTACGTTCTCACTCAGGTGCCACAAGCACGGCGCGATGAGCCGCCGAGGCAGGAACCATGGGCACGGTTGGAGCCAAAATGGTCGGCGCGCCCAGGGCCCCCTTGTGCTTTGGGGAGGAGGAGGAGGAGGAGGAGGAGGAGGAGGAGGAGGAAGGAGGAGGAGGAGGAGGAGGAGGAGGAGGAGGAGGAGGAAGAAGGCGGAGGAGAAGGAGGAAGAGGGGGAG